CTATTAATAGTTTACATAGTAAAGGAAGGTTTCAGATATTTTGGTTGGATTCAGGGATACAGATAAGAGAGGCCTGGGTCACAAACCTTTGTCATCAAAGGCCCCAGCTGACATGGCCAGAAGGGGTCAAAGCACAAACGAATAGGAAGGAAATCTTCTTGGACCAGGGTGCAACTTGCTTAGAGAAGCTGTTAGCAGGGGTAAAAACTTATTGGTTTCTAAATGCCATTCTGTATACAGAGGGACAAAGGTCAATGGCCTTACGGTTGACCTTGGACTTGGGAGTAGATAGGTGGCAACAATGAGCACCTGTCTGTCTGAACCCCACCCTAGGCCCAAGAACTGATTCAGCCCCATGGGTACTTCCTGACAACGAGGGACACGTGGGCACAGCTGAAGGACTCTGAACCTGGCTGGTATATGAGAAAGAAGTTGAGACTTGATTTTTTATTAAGGCTTTTTTTCATCATAGAATACAAAATGGAAAAATATAGAAAAGAAGAAAAAGGTACAATCCTACCATTTAGTTGCAATGGAAAGGATAAAGTCAGCGCCATTTACTATTGTGGCACCATTTGCAGAGCAGGCCTATGACCTTGTTAAACATGATGCCCTTCTCCTCTCCGGAGCTTATGTCCCCAGGACTGGAAATTACTGGAAAGCTAGGCCAGAACACGATTAACTGCTCCCTACAGCCACGGGCAGAAGGTAATAAAGGAAGAAACTGCAGCCTCGAGTAATAATGTCCTCAACAGCAACACCCCCGCTTTAATCCTACTACAACTCAATAAAAACTCAAAGCCCCACCCCTCACTGCTGTGCGTCTCTCCACGCCATGCCCCTCTCCTTTCTTGGACAGTGAATAAAAACTTTATTTTCTATGCTTTCTTCTCTTTTTTTTAAACTTTGTTTACTCAGATTTTTTTAAAGATTTTATTTATTTACTTTTAGAGAAAGAAGGGAGGGAGATAGAGAGAGAGAGGGAAACATCAATGTGCAGTGCTGGGGGTCATGGCCTGCAACCCAGGCATGTACCCTGACTGGGAATCAAACCCGCGACACTTCAGTTCACAGCCCACGCTCAATCCACTGAGCTATGCCAGCCAGGGCTATCTTCTACACTTTCTTCTCTTTGTGAATTCTTTCATAGCCTGCATCACCAATTACCCTAACAACAACCACTGTTAAGGTCTTGATGTACTTCATTTATTTATTGATTCCTTTAATGCAAATATTACCTAAGGCCTCTTAGAGCTACTTCACTATTTCCCCCCGTAGTGTTATGCTGTTTGGAAAGCCCATATGGACTTAGCCTATTCCTTTGGGATGGACATAACCCACCTGCTTTCACAGACGACGCTGCCTTGAACATCCTTAGACACGTATTTGTGTGCTCACGTGCAAGCAGATTTCATCAACTTGACTATAATCCGTAGCTCGTCTTTTGGTCGTTGGTAGCCAACGGAGTATTTTCTTCTTACTCATTTGCATTTTTTATATCTTCAATTGGATATTTTTCTATGTTTATCAAACTATCTATTTCCTTTTCATTAAGCTGCCTGTTCCTATTTTTCTACGTGTTTTCTATCCCATTGGTGTGTAAAATAAAAAATTCTTATGTTAAGAAGATTAGCCCTTTCAAAGGAAACAAGAGAAAAACAAGTGAGATTACATCAAACTAAAAAGGTTTCACACAGCAAAGGAAACTGTTGTCAAAACAATAAGACAACCTAACAAATGGGGGAAGATATTCACCAGCAATATATTGGATAAGGGGTTAATATCCAAAATACTTAATATAAAGAACTTATACAACATAACACCAAAAAAGCAATCCAAGACCTGAATAGACACTTCTCCAAAGAGGACATACAGATGGCCAATAGACAAGTGAAAAGATGCTCAATGTCACTAATCATCAGAGATGCAAATTACAATCACAATGAGCTATTGCCTCATGCCTGTCAGAATGGCTATGAATAAATCAACAAACGACAAGTGTTGGTAAGGATGTGGAAAAAAGAGAGCCCTCGTGCACTGTTCGTGGAATTGCAAACTGGTATAGCCACTATGGAAACCAATATGGAGTTTCCTCAAAAACTTAAAAATAGAGGGAGTTCTGGCCAAGATGGAGGAGAAGGTAGAAACACTTCACTTCCTCGAACAACCAAAAGGATGACTAATTTAAAAACAAAAAACCACCAGAAGTGCCAGGAAATAAAACCGCAGGGAACTCTGACAACCAAGGAGATAAACACTCGTCCAGACCAGTAGGAGGGGTGGAGATAGGCAGCCGGGCTGGGGGAGCAGACAGTCCCACATTTGCGTGTGGATAAACCTGTAGGAACAACTGGGGAGCGAGACAGACCATGCAACCCAGGGTCCCATTGCCAAGAAATAAAGCCTCAAAGCCTCTGATTGAAAACACCTGTGGGGGTTACAAAGGCAGGAGAAACTCCCAGCCTCACAGGAGAGTTCGTTGGAGAAACCCACAGGGTCCTAGAACGTACACAAACCCACCCACCCGGGAATCAGTGCCAGAAGGGCCCAATTTGCTTGTGGGTAGCAGAGGAAGTGACAGAAAGCAGGGCGAGAGCCAAGCAAGCGGCACTGCTCCCTCTCGGACCCCTCCCCCACATACAGCGTCACAACGCAGCGTGGGGGTAACCCTGAAGTGGGAAGTGGGAAGGGAGAATGGGGGGAAAGTTACAGGGAATAAAAATCATAATTAGTAGGAACAAAGTAGACAGGGGGAGGTTAAGAACAGTATAGAAAATGGAGAAGTCAGAGAACTTATGTGTACGATCCATGGAAATGAACTAAGTTGGGGGGTGGGGGCAATGTTGGAGGGTAGGATGTTGCAGGGTGGAGGGGAATAAAGGGGAGAAAAAAATGGGACAACTGTAATAGCATAACCAATAAAATATACTTTTAAAAAACTTAAAAATAGAACTACCTTATGTTCCAGCAATTCTACTTCTGGATATTTATTGGAAGAATTCCAAAACACTGGTTCAAGGAGATATATCCACCCTTTTACTCACTGCAGCACTATCAGTAGTGCACAAGATCGGTCCAGGACATATCCAGACATGTAACATGAAAAACAGAGACATTTGTTGAAGACACAAGATACAAGAAACATCGTACAAAGGACAATGACACATCAGTCCCCTTCCACGTTATGACTTTCTTGAGGAAGTCTGGTTCATCAGTAGTGGTTTGAATCAAGCCATCAGCAACTGCAGCACGATGTTCCCTCTGCTCTGGTAGCAGAAGCTGCAGAATGAATTTTGCCACCACGTGTTTCATGCGCAGATCCTGCGTCAAAATCTCGGACACAGTCGTTTTCGGAACCCCCAGATCAGCCTCCAGTTCTTGTACTGTCCGTCGCTGATCTTTGTTGACTGCAGCCCTTACAGGCTCAACGTTCTCAGGTGTTCTGCTTGTCGCAGGCCTTCCGGAATGTAGGTCACTCTCCACAGATTCTCGGCCACATTTAACAAGTTTGTACCAAACTTTTATTTGCGCTGCACTCATTGTATCATCCCCAAAAGGCTTCTGAATCATCTGAATGGTTTCTGTGAAGGATTGTTCAAGTTTAACGCAAAATTTGATGCAGATTCATTGTTCTACTCCCTCATTCATTTGAATGAAACAACACACAGGACACATAGTCACTCAACGGCACCTACTGCCCCCGCTCACCAGTACAGTGAAGTCGTCATTGGTCACACATGCGCATCCCAGTCCACTCTCCTTGGCTGCCGTTACATCAATGTCACGCAAACCACTCTTGTTATATTAACAATGGCTGGGCTGTTTCTGGGTATACAATGGAATATTACTTGGCTGTTAAGAAAGAGTGAAATCTTACCATTTGTGACAACATGGATGGACCTAGAGGGTATTATGGTAAGTGAAATAAGTCAGACAGAGAAAGACAAATATCATATGATTTTTCATATGTGTGGAATCTCAAAAGCAAAATAAACAAAACAGAAACAGACTCATAGATACAGGGTACCAAGGTCGCCAGGTGGGAGGGGGCTTCGAGGGCTGGGTGAAAGAGTTAAGAAGATGTTAAGGAGCGCAAAGTGGCAGCTGCAAACTAGACACATGGGCGTAAAGTGCAGCACAGGGAACATAGCCAACACCACTGTACTGCGTATGGTGCCCGGTGGGCGCTGGACTTATCAGGGTAACCACGTCATAAGTTACATAAGTGTCTAACCACCAGGCCGTACACCTGCAACTAATATAATACTGAATGTCAACTGTAACTGAAAAATTAAAAACTAAAAGGAATAGCCCCTTATGCAGTCATCCGGCCACAAATAAGCTGTCTTTTGCCTTTTTTGCCCTAACATTCTTCTCATCACAAAGTTAAATCTTCTTTGAATGTCTAATTCACTTCCTTTCTGGCTTCTGGGTTTTGAATCTTGTTCAAAAAGGCCTTCTTCACGTCAAAATTATTTTGTGAAATCACAGGATAATTTCTCCTAGTATTTTCCCAGATCGTTTGTTTCACTCAAGTCTCTGTCTGGAAGGCATCTGAGGAGAGCCGCCAGCTCTCAGTTCTGTCTCTTCTAACCTGGACTCTGTGACCCATGATCCAGCTTCCTGGGAGTTCCAAACAACCCAGATTCTCCCGGATCCTTGGAGATGTGACTGAACCTGACTTACTGACCCATTGCTGCTGGTTGTGTGTGACCTTGGGCCCCTAAGTACTCTCCTGCTCCCCGAGCCCTCGGTCCAGACCCCAGGGGGAATCTGGGCAGACTCCTCTCAGGGGGGTGTGTGGGCTCCAGGTGGCCGCGCAGCGGTCTGGATGCTCATTGTCTGGGTCTGGGGTGGTAGCTCTTCCTCTGTAAACTGGGCCCCCCCGGCTCCCTTCACCTGCTCCCTCCCACCCCACCTGTGCTCTGCCCCCAGCTCCTCTCCAGGAAATTTGCATCATGTGGCAGAGGGAGGGCTCTGCTGGACTGCTTCGGCCAGCCATGACCTGCTCAGCTGCCCCGATGCTCCTGCTGGCCACCACTCTGCCCCTGGTGGGGTCACCAGGGGCCCCAGTGTCCCAACCTGTGAGTAATGCTGGGGTGAGGACCCCAGGGAGGTCTGCCGAGGCAACGACAAGGACATTGGGTGTGAGGGGCAATACAGGTGTGGGATGAAACGACAGGTGGAGGGGAAAGGACTTTTAAAAAAGAGGCTGGTTTGCTACAAGGTCTCCGAGAGCTCAGTCTGTATTCCGGAGTGTGGGGGGAGCTTCGTTTCTTCATCCGAGTCCCTGGGAAGTCCAGGGATGCCGGCTGCACTTCCAGTCAAGCTTGCAATTTAAACACGAACAGAAAAACTTCCCAGATGTGGGGACCGTTGGCACAGAGGAAAGGAGAGAAGAGAATCTGAGGACAGGCAGCCGAGTCTAGAGCAGCACTTGTTCATCCGTGTTTGCTCCCACGTGGTATCTCTGTCTCTGTCTCCATCCGTCTCCTCATCCTCATCCCTGTCTGTTGTTAGCTAGATACCCACACACACGCACAATTCTGAGAATTGGGAGTTGGTGAGGAATAATTTCCAAGAACCAGGGAATATTCATTGGAAGACGCTGCCTCTGCCTCTGCCCACCCCAGTGGCAGTTCCTATGGAGAGAAGTTCCCAAGCCTCCGGGACCCAGCCAGCGCTGGCCAGCTCTCCCCCTACCCCTGGAGCAGGAGGCCCAGCCATTCCAATTAGCCTAGAGGCCCAGCAACAGGTGAACTCAGGAAGGAATTAAGCAAAGCATGTTGACTCTCGGGGTGTGCCTGGTTCCTGGGTTCAGGCTCTGGCGGGTTCCTGGAGCTGAGTCCCTCCAACCTCCTGCCAGAAGACTGCTTCCTCCTCCTGATGTTCCACTTCATTCCAGGCAAAATAGTAAAAATAAAAATTTAAAAAGAGGCCCTTCCAAGAGACTGTGTCATGCCAGCAGGTTAGCCAGGCTGGCCCCTGGGCCACTTGGGAAAGAAGGTGTCCCTGCCAGAAACCTGGGGCCAGTCTCTCCTCAGAGGTCTCTCCTCTGCACTCTGTTCTAGGCACCCAGTGGGACAGGAGGGGAATTTGGGCAGCAACTGGACCTCACGAGTGGAGCAGGTGGTGAGTGGATGGAGGAGGAGAGGCGGGAGCAGGGAGCAAGGTGGGAAGAGAGCCCCGGGAGAGGCCACAGGGCAGGGTGGCGGGTGAACAGAGAGGGCCAGACCCGCACTGCTCAAGCAGGTCCATCTACCCGGTCTCCAGCCATGAGGGCTTGAGAAACTCATCCATCCCTGAGAGCCTCGTCTGTGAGATGGGGGCTCTTGGGAGGGTGACAGAAAACAGGGTGTGCCACAGCTAGATGAGGAGCCACTGCTCCTGAGTCCTGGCTGTGCCCGGACGGGCTACGGGAGGGGGGCCTGCTCCGGGTTCCTGGCAGTGACCAGCTAGGCGTGGGAACTGGCCCCTGGCCTCCCTGCCCCTCCTCTCCAGCGGCCCCCTCTTCTCCTGTAGAATCGGTCCTGGCCTCGGTCTATGTGCAGCTGGACTTCTCCAGCGAGACCTGGCGGGACACGCTCTCCAGGCCCCTGAGTCTGTCCCCCGCCCCGGCTTCCTCTTCTCCAAGAACTCTCACTGGCCTCAGCCTCACGACAGGTAGGGGGAACTCCACTGGGTCCTGCCTCTCAGTGCCGCTGGTGGCTGGTGGCATGGGAAGGGGGCTCAGAGCCAAGGGGATGTGGGCCCCCCAGCCCTCCTGCAGCCGGCGTGCCTGTATGCTCCCCATTTCCTGGAGGGTCTGCAGGGCCCAGCTCCTTCCTCACTTTCCTACCAGACAGACCCTTCCCCTCCTGCTCCGTGTCCTCATCTTGTAACAGAGGGCCCAAGGGGCAGGTGGTGGGGGTCCTGGGTTTCTCTGCCCGACCGTGACCCTGACCCCAATCCTGGGCGCCTTTGGGAGTGCGTGACCTTCGCTGCTTCGAACCCTAGCTGAGTAGGCAGTCCCAGCTGTGCCCGTGACTTTGGGATTGCTCCAGACCCCCAGCCCCAGACCTCCCTGGCATCCGGTCGGTCCTGCTGAGGTGGCCTTCTCGGCCAGCCTGTCCCCTTCTCACTCCCTTCCCCGTCACAGAGTGTGCTACCAGGCCTGACGGGCTGACCCACTGTGCTTGCCTGACCGGATACCAGTGGAACGCCAGCGCCTGCTCCCGACACGATCCTTGCCACCCCCCCTACAACCACCAGCCCTGTGGCTGTCTCGTCCTCAGCCCTCTGGAAGCTGGGTACTGCCAGTTGCTGCCACCTGGTGAGGAGAGTGGAGAACTCGGAAACCACTGGGCCCAAGTGAAAGAAACCTTCCCTGTGTGTTTTTTTTTCCCTCGCTGACCCCTGTATTTCTGCCAGCTGGCCCAAGCCCAGAGGCTGGCTCCTCTGGGTGGGAGAAGACACCAGCCATCACAGCAGGTCACAGGCTCCCAGCTCCGGGCCTGAGTAGCGACACTAATGAGCGAGCGACAGGGCTCTGGAGACACCCTGACAAGGAGAGAGAGTTTCCCCGCTGGGAGAGGGGAGGTCATGGGTCAGAAAGGTTCCCTGTTTGGTTCCCAGTGACAGATGGGTCTTCCAGGCTGCACTGCAGCAGCCACGCCCCTCCAGAGAGAAAATAAAATAAAAAGTGCCAGGTGGGGAGGGGGCGAGGAGGGTAGCAGTCAGAAGACGGGGGAGTGTCACGGCTCAGCTGCCTGGGGGCCCACGAGTTCCTGCTACAGCGATCCCCTGTCCCCGCCTCCTTTCAGTCCCAGGCACCCTGAGCCTGAACTCCTGGCTGCAGATGCCCGGCGACACGCTGAACTTGACCCTCCTCACGAGCCACGAGACCGCCAACCTGAACTGGTTCCTGCAGCACCGCACAGGGAGCCCCATCCTCCTGCAGCCAGGGACACAGGTGTCCCTGGCATCTGGCCCAGGCCAGACTGTCCTCAGCATCGTCAACATCTCCCATCAGTGGGAAGGTAGCCAGCCTGTCCTTCCTCCTGCTCTCTCTTCCCTGCCCCTCTCTCCTCCCTCTCTCCTTCCTTCCTTTCTTTTCTCCTTTGCCTTTCCCTTTTCATCTTTCTATGTATTTATTTTGGGGAAATAAAGGCTAAGAGTCCTGTTGAAGTGAAAATTTATAAAGGAAGAATGCTGGAAATATGGTCTCAATTTTAACTGAGAACAGACAAGTTCTTTTCTTCTGGCTGTTGAAATGGTAGGGGATGGTGCAGGAAGGGTGTCTGCTGGAGGGGAAAAGTTCACTTTGTTTTAATTTTTTTTAATATTTTATTTATTTTTAGAGATAGGGGAAGGGAGGGAGAAAGAGAGGAAGAGAATTATCCATGTGCAAGAGATACATCTATTGGTTGCCTCTCATCCACGCCCCAACCTGAGACCAGGCCCGCAACCCAGGCACATGCTCTGACCGGGAATCAAACCCATGACCTTTCGGTTTGCAGGACGGTGCTCAACCAACTGAGCCACATGATCAGAATGAGGCAGATTCACTTTAGAATTCATGGCTATGAGCTCATAAACAAGGGTCAGGAGCCTCTTCTCCAGTTCTCTTCTTCCTCCTGGAAATCCTTCTGGGGGCAGGGATCCCTCTTGCTGTGGTTGAGCAGAGCCCAGACTAGGAAGGCCCTGTGTCTGCAGGCGAGTACACGTGCCACTTCGAGGCCCAGGGATTCAGATGGGAGCTGTCCCAGGTGGTGAGGGTGCCCCTGCGGGCAGCAGATGTAACGCGTCTTCCAGACCAGCTCTCCGTCTCCTGCGCCGCCTCCCCTGGCTTCCAGCTGAGCTGCTGCGCCCCTTCCACGCTGCTGGGCTACGTGGCTTCCTGGAGCCCCGCAGAGGGCAGCGAAGGTACACAAGGGGGCAAGGGGGCCGGCTGTCTGGGGCGGAGGAGGGGGGCAGCCTGTCCCCTCCAACTCCCTGAAGCCCAGGCTGCAACTCAACGTGGGAGGTCCACGTGCAAGTCCGCGTCCCACACGGTTGTTACCCAACAGAGCAGCGGTTTCCAACCTCTTTCATCGCGTGGCACACGTGAACTATCCCTAAACTTCTGCGGCACACCGAAAACGATATATTTTTTGCCCATCTGACAAAAAAAAAACGGGTATAATTTTGATTCATTCACACCGGGCGGCTATTGTAGTGCTGGCTGCTGTCATTTTTGTATTTGCCAGTCTAAGGGAAAAGAGGTCCGTGTCCCCGACTAGTCAGGTATTACATATTTTAAAAATTCCCGAGCGCACCAGTTGAAGTTCAATGTGACAGAGCAATCCCAATGCTATCGACACAACAAGAACCTCATGGGTGTGGACGACTTCCTGCTCAGTGCTTTTTGCCACACAGTCTCGTTACCCGCCCTGAGGTTCATGTAATGATGGTCCCATTTTACAAAGGAGGACGCTGTGCCTGGAGTCCCCAGGGACAGTCCCCTGGAGAGCCGCAGGGGCCTTCGCCAAAACCCGAGCCCTCCCTTCCGTGGTTTGATGCCCGCGCACTACTCTGCTCCTGCCCACGGCTTCATCTACTCCTGAAACTGCCAGAAAAACCGAACCGGCAAACCGGGGCCTGCAGGCTTCGGGGTCCGTTCCTGGCCTAGTGACCGACAGCGCCCTTCTCGCGTCTCACCCTCAGCCTCCTTATTCAACCAGCCAAGTGACCAGTGCCTTGTGCTGGCCGTTCAGCACTGCCCTGCAGCGGACACCACGTACACTTGTGACCTGCAGAGCCCAGGACTGACCCCTCTCCGAGTCCCCATCTCGGTCACCGTCATTCAGGGTAGGTGGGGTTTACGGTCCAGCGGGCCGACGTCTCGCCGGCTGGCCCTGGGAGCTCCTCTTGGGCACTGCCCTGCCCCGGGCACTGGGGCTGGGCTCCAGAGCCTGCTTCGGGTTTCCGCCCGAGGAAAGGCTCAGCTAGACTGTGGGTCCCGACGTCATTCCTCAGATGGAGACATTGCCTGTCCTGAGGACGCCGCAGCTGGTGCCTGGAACGTCACCAAGGCTGGCTACGTGGCACAGGCCCCCTGTCCCATGAACAGGACGGGCGTGGTGAAGAGGACGTGTGGGCCCGACGGGGTCTGGGGGCCCGTCCAGGACAGCTGCACAGACACGGGGCTCCTGACCTTGCTTCAGAGAGCCCAGGTAGAGCTTCTGGCCCTGCTGCCCGCATGTTACCCCCTCCACAACCTGCCCCTTCCTCGCTCAGGACCCAGCCCCAGGCTCCTCTCCTCCTGAGGCCCAGCCCAGAAGCTACTCAGCCTCTCTGAATCGGGGCCCTAGCAGAGCCAGGAAGTAGGTGTGGGGGCGTGAGAGTGGCCGGGACTCTCGTGGCGGTGAGGGTGCTGTTCCCAAACCTTCACCTGTCCAGGGTCCCTTCCACTAACGTCGCTGTCAGCTCCATCCACGTGGCTCACTCTGCTCTCTGCTCCCTGACCCCCTGGGAGGGGCGTAGCTATGGGGAGGAAGGAGTTGGATGGGGGAGGAGTAGCCCCTCTCTGGCACGGACTCACTCCCCTGCACCAGCCCCATTGCTGTCCTGTCTGTCTCAGCTGCTGTGGGCAGGCCAGGGCCGCCCTGCTGCAGAGGTGCCGCGGAGCCTGGCAGAGCTGCTGGAGTGGACAGGGGTGGTGAGCTCACCCTCTGACTTGTTGGCACTGCTGGGCACCGTGACACACCTGGCCAAGGCAGTGGCAGACACCGGAACACAGCTTAACCGCAGTGCCCTGGAGGTAAGGTCTCTGATCCGCAGCAGGGCCAGCTGGGTAGAGGAGGCCAGAAGTTTTTCAGCTTTGGGCCCTTCTGTCCCTCTGCCACCACCACGGGCTGTCAGACGCCAGACTGCTCCCGTGGTCCATCACACCCCTTAGACACCAGTGTCTAAGGCCACAGAATGTGGAGAAGCCTTGACGCTGGGAACACATGCGAGACTGCGGACGGTGTGTGCAGACACGAGTTCAGAGGCATACACTCACGTACAGATATGTAGACGTGACATGACTTCCCCCTACACACGCACACGCACATCCGAGCACCTGCACGAAGACACTCAAATGCAACTGGCTTTACTGGGCCCCCCTAAACCAGCTCTCAATATAGGCACTAGTTGGTGACCCGTAGGCTGCAGCCAAAAGAGTAACTCGGGGCTATGACACTGCACGCCCTTTATGTCTGGGAAGAGGGGTCGCGTGTTGGTGCACAGGCATGCTCATGACTCTCTAGTTCAGGACATTGTGCCCTCTGCCACCATTCCTGCTTCTCAGACCTGTAGGGGTCATGAAACTGAAGAAGGCCTCCTTAGGGCCAGGCTGACCCCAAGGGATGGAGGAGGAAGAAGGGTTGTCAGATGGAGGGGTGGGATGAGCTTCAGGAGACCACACACTCAAAGAGGCTCCAGTGGTTGGCTGAACAGTGCCCCCATTCTTCCTGTGTAGAAACTCCCCCTCCCCCAGAGGTCTGTCTTCTTTCCCCCCTTCCTCTCCAACCTCGGGTCTTGCGGTCAATGAGGAAAGGTAGGCTTGGGGGCCTATGTACCCTAGGGCCCCTGGCTCAGTGCTGAGAGCACTAGCGTTCCTCCCTGTTGGCTGCCACAGGCTCTCCTGAAAACCACCGACAAGGTCCTAGACATGGACACCAGTCCTCTGTGGACCGAGGCCCAGGTGCAGACACCCTCGGCGAGCTCAGACCTCCTGCTGGCTGTGGAGACCCTGGCACGCAGCCTGCGCCCACAGGACCACCCCTTCGCCTTCAGCTTGCCCAACGTGCAGATGCAGACCCAGCTCCTCAGCGCCACACTCCCTGCTGACTACAGAGTCTCCTTCTCCACTCAGCCGCCCCTGCAGGCGCTGATTCCCAGACACTCGCTGGCCCCACTGGTTACTGGTAACGACAACATCACCATGACTGGCCTGGTGCTGCGCAAGCTGGACCGCCTTCTACCCTCGAACTATGGACAAGGGCTGGGGGACTCCCTCTACGCCACTCCTGGCCTGGTCCTCGCCATCTCCATCATGGCAGGCGGCCAGGCCTTCAACCAGGGAGAAGTCATCATGGACTTCGGGGACAGAGAGGGCACCCTTCACTGTGTCTTCTGGGACCACCATCTCTTCCGGGGCAACGGGGGCTGGTCAGAGGAAGGGTGCCAGGTGCAGGCAGCCAACGCCAGCTCCGCCGTGCAGTGCATCTGCCGGCACCTCACTGCCTTCTCCATCCTCATGTCCCGACACCCTGTTCCAGAAAGCCGCACCCTGGAACTGCTGAGTCACGTGGGCTTGGGGGCCTCCATCCTGGCACTGCTTGTGTGCCTGGGCGTGTACAGGCTGGTGTGGAGAGTCGTGGTGCGGAACACGGTTGCCTACTTACGCCACGCAGCCCTACTCAACATGGTGCTCTGTCTGCTGGCCGCGGACACCTGCTTCCTGGGAGCCGCGCTGCTTCCTCCAGGGCCCGAAAGTCCACTCTGCCTGGCTGCTGCCTTCCTCTGCCACTTCCTCTACCTGGCTACCTTTTTCTGGATGCTGGCTCAGGCCCTGATGTTGGCCCACCAGCTGCTCTTTGTCTTCCATCAGCTGTCCAAGCGCCGAGTACTCTCCCTCATGGTGGTTCTCGGCTACCTGTGCCCGATGGGGTTTGCAGGTGCCGCCCTGGGCCTCTACCTGCCTCGAGGGCAGTACCTGGGAGAGAGGGCATGCTGGCTGGATGAGAAGGGAGGGGTGAGCTACACCTTTGCAGGGCCGGTGCTGGTCATCGTGGGCCTGAATGGGCTGGTCCTAGCCGTGACCATGCTGAAGTTGCTGAGACCTTCGCTGTCAGAGGGACCCCAGGGGGAGAAGCGCCAGGACCTTCTTGGGGTGACCAAAGCCCTGCTCGTCCTCACACCCATCTTCGGGCTCACCTGGGTGCTGGGCCTGGCCACGCTGCTGGAGGACGACTCCACGGTCCCTCACTACGTCTTCACGATTCTCAACGCCTCCCAGGTGGGTGGTGACGAGGGGGCTGTGCTTTGTGCCGTTTTAGACGTTCCAAGTCACTGCCAGTCCCTTCTCAAGGTGCTGTCGAGGCGGAGCAGAGGAAACATAGCTCGGGGATTTGGGAAGGCACAGGTTTGGGTCCCAGCCCCTCCACTGACTGGCCGGATAACTGGACAAATGCCTCCGAGCTTTGGTTTCCGTATCTGTGAAATAATACCCGGTTTTGCCAGTGAAGCCAGGGGATCGTCAGCACCCAGCCCTTAGCTAGTCCCTTCGCAACCGTAGCAGCAAGCACAGCACCAGAAGGGCCCTGTAGCCCAGGGATGCTGACCTATGAAACCCCAGTAAGACGAGAGGACAGAGGCAAAGGAGGAGGGAAGGGAAGGAGTGGGTTGCGGTCGATCCCTTCCTCCTTGACTCACTTACCCCCTTCTCCCTCCTTTCAGGGCGTCTTCATCTTATGGTTCGGCTGCCTTATGGACAAGAAAGTGAGTCTGCCCACCCCATGCCCTCCTGACTCACAGACAAAGGCAGGGGCTTCGGCTGCCGTAACCAGGCATTTATCTCCTGCAGGTTCAACAGGCTCTACGCAGACGCTTCTGTCGCGCGCAGCCCCCCAACTCCACCATCTCCCTGGTGAGTTGCTGCCTTCAAATCCTTCGTGCCCCCCTGGGAGCAGGTCGGAAGCAGGTGCCCCATAGCCCTTCCCCAGGGAGACGGGCACCACTAGAGGCTAGAGAAGACTGGGGTGGTTTTCTAGAGCGAGCAAGCTCCAGGCTCCAGCTGTCCACAGTGCAGACAGCAGCCGGGTCAGGAAAGTCAGAATCAGGTGCCCCGGTTCCTGATTACAACCTGGACTCCCGGCGACTCTCTGGTCCTTGGTTTCTCCAACTGACCGTCTGCCTCCAGTTACTACTTGAAGGGAAAAGGCAGGATCAGTAGGCACGGGCCTCACCGTAGCTGAGAGCGAAGTGCCCCCTTACTGCAGCCCCCAAAGGAGGGCAGGTGAGAATGTGAAAATGGACATAACCCTGTCAAAGGCGAGCAGGCAATGATCGCCCTGCATCTGGGCCTTTTCACCCCTCCCTAGGCCACCAATGAGACCCACATCCTGGAACACAGCAAAGGAAGGAGTGACAATGCTAGGTGAGGATGAAGCTTTCTCGGGAGCAGTGTGAGCGGCGTAAGCGGCTTCCCCGCAAAGCTCTTGATGGAAAGCTCCTCTTCATACACGTGTCCCAGCCCAAAGTGGGGGACAGACTTTGCCACAGTAGACATTTCTCCGTGAGCTGGGGAGGCGAAGGCCTCAGCGAGCAGAAATGACGGCATCTGCCATTGCAAACTCCCAGAAAGCTGGAGGGGGTTTGACCACCGACAGCCCTTGACTCAGTTCACTCTGAAAACTCCTTTTCACACTATCAGATGTTTAATTCTCCTGGAAAATCCTTGTTTGTCCTTCAAGATTGTATTTATTTATTTATTTTCAGACAGAGGGGAAAGGAGGGAGAAAGAGAGGGAAGCATCAATGTGTGGTTGCCTCTTGCACACCCCCTACTGGGGACCTGTCCCACAACCTAGGCATGTGCTCTGACTGGGAATCAAATCAGCAACCTTTTTGTCCTCAGGCTGGTGCTCAGTCCACTGAGCCCCACCAGCCAGGGCAAAAAAAAAAAAAAAAAAAAAATCCTTGTTTCGAAGGAATTAGCCCTGGTGAGCTTGTTGGCCAGAGGAAGGACGATCTGCGAAGGTGGGACAAGGTTTCCTTTTACCGGCCCAGAGCTTCAGGGCAAGCTCTCTCGAGGGGAACCACACAGAGACCCCGTGTTCCCTCCGGGGGAGTGCGCGGTGTGTGCGTGGACCCACCGGGACGGCGGGCCCAACACCCTGAACCCTTCCCCACTCCCAGAGCTCAGCCCTCCCGAGAGCTGGGCCACGTTTCCATCAGCCACACGCGTCCCTCTGCACTCACCTGTCCCGCCCCGCACCAGCCCAGCAGGAAGAGCATGACCGACGAGCTCTCAAGCTCTCTCATGAGTGGACTGGCTTCGCTGTAAACATTATCGAGATATCAGAGTTTACAACAATTGCAAGTAAAACTGTCTCAGCCAGTTTTTAACTCACCAGCAGTTTATGTTACAGATATAGTGGATAGAAATGGTTTTAACTATTTGGTGATCTCTCCTTATTTCTTCCCTGCAGTTATGAAGAAAGGATGGCTTAACGGACAGGAACTCTGATCTTCCCGGCATCAGAGGCGAAGGGCAGAATTTGGTTTGTTTGTTGTCAAAGTCCAAGAAAAGGCGAAGTTGATGAGCCCCTTTCTTTCACACTTAAACACATCAACATAAACTTGTTTCACAGACACCTGCACGTCTACACACAGTCACTGACATGAACGCATTTGAAAGAAGGCATTGCGGATTTTAAAGCAGGGAAAAGGTACCGCAGGCGGCTACAAGTTAAGAAGCAAAGATGACAAGCACATTTAAAAGTGACAGGATCCGGCTAAGACTAGATATAGAGAATAAAGATTTAAGAAAAGCAGACACCAAGACATTTAGCTGAATTAATTTATGGAATTCACAATAGATAATGACAGGGTCTGAAGAACTTTTAAATTAGATAAATGAAACCATTTTGATAAACGAATCTTTGTGAATTACAGATTTCATGAATATTTTTATAAAGTGGAATGGGGATGTTTTTCTGTTGAAATAAAAATGAATACCACACACCGTTGAAAACATTTTTCTTACAAACACTATACCTTCACTTAATGATTTGTGTGAATATTTAAATTGCGTATAACCAGCCTGAATATTTCTCTAAGCGGATTCGATCGTTCTCTCATGTAGAAGGTATCGAGTCACCAGGACAGCTGGGGTGTTTCCAGGCCAAGGGCTCCTTGCGGCCCCCAGGGGAGGCGGCAGCGCCTGAAACGGGGAAGGCTTTCCCTGCCGGTTTCCCTGGCAACACGGACATGTCTCAATGTCCTTATCACTTTGTTAGTATTTACAGTCTTGATTTTTTTCAATTATAGAATTATTTTCAGAATAATTCAAACAATACACTTCGGAAGCAGCAGAGCCTCCTTTTCTGAGTATGCTTTGTAGAAATATGTTCTCATTTTCCTTCTCAAATGGCTGCACGCACCCAGTGCATGCTCTGCTGGTAAAAAAAAAAAATGCATTTTAGAATTGATAAGTGAAATGACATGAAGCCTTTGTGCACTTGGCTCTCACCACAAAAAGGAAGGAAGGGCTGAAAAAGGAGGCTCTGGAAGTAACTGTGAGATTAAGCAGCAATTCCATTTCTGGGAAGATGGCTGAAGGGAGTAAGCAGGCAAGTAAACAGAGAAATGCACAAAGGACGCGCATTCCAGTGTTTACGTCCTCAAAAGAGAGGCACCAATCAGGGCATATGGATACAGAGGGATGCCATGTGGTCACTAGAAATGATGTACAGCTACACCTTCTGACACGGAAAATGTTTAGGCTGTACAGCTATGTAAAATGAAAGGGGACCAGAGCAGCATTATACAAGGCAATTTTGCTCCACGGGTCCAAATAAATACATATGCGTTGAAAAAAAAGATATCAAACTATTAATAGTGGGTATCTTTACTTGATTGTTCATCTTCTTCTCACTCTATAAATATTGAATTCTTTTACAATAAGCATGCAGTTTTCTATTAGAAAAATAATAAAATGATTTTAAAAAATGTTCTGCTGAACATGTTGCCTATTTAAAAATAGAAACTTGTGCCCTGGCCAGTGTGGCTCAGTTGGTTGGAGCGTCTTCCCATAAACCGGAAGGTTGTGGGTTCAGTTCCTGGTAGGGGTGCCTACGAGAGGAAATGGATGTTTCTCTTACATTGATCTCTCTCTCTCTCTTCCCTCCTCCTTGCTCTCTGGAATTAAAAACAAAAACAACAACAACAAAAAAAACCTTGACAAGCAAAGAAACAAAATGTCCTCTGCAATTTAGGTTTGTATGGAGTGTGGGCTGCATTAGGGTCCCTGAGAAAGCTCTGAGCCCCCTATTTGGAATTCTGCTCTGGGAACCAGTTCTGGCTGGTCAGGGGTGGTCCCTTAAGCATGGAAGGGAAAAGGGCTCCTCGCTGAGTTCGTTGCAGCTACAAACATTGCCAACATGTCTAAATGCTTCTTCTCTTTCACAATGTTTTCAGAATAGTATTTCTACTATTTTTGTCCTTCTATTCTCACGTTCTCCCATTTCCTCACAATCAGTGATCCTTCTTCATTGAAAAAGCAGAATATACCACCTCGAGTCCCAAATAGACCACAGTGGACACAGGCAGAGGGACCTCTGAGCCATCCATTAAAATCTGAGACAGGCTGAGAGAACTTGATACTGCTTTTCACCCTTCGAGAAAGACCAGAATTTGAGAGGCTTGGAGGAATCAGTATAATTCAGAAAGGACGGGGGGAAAGATGGGCTGAGAATTAGGATTCTTCTCTCTGGAAATATGGAAGCAAAGAGGGCACAAATTTCTGTTTTGTTGGTTGCTGTAGCCTCAGCACCTAGAGTAGTGCCTGACACATAACAGGCACTCAATACATTTTTGCTCAGTGAATGAACTATACAGACCATGGGAAGAACACAAACTTTTACTCAGAACCAGACCACCAGAAGCGAAGAGCGGGGCCAGGGATGGGGCAAAGAGGGAAGCAAACCTTTTGAAGTTTGAATGAAAATGAGAGAGGATGAGGGAAAATAAATGTTCCACTCCCAAAGAAGTTATTTGGTGGAGCAGAGGAGCTAATTAAAGTTTTACATGAAAAAGAGATGCTGCCCTGGCTGGCGTAGCTCAGTGGATTGAGCGTGGGCTGCGAACCAAAGCATCGCAGGTTTGATTCCCAGTCAGGGCACATGCCTGGGTTGCAGGCCACGGCCCCCAGCAACCACACATCGATGTTTTCCTCTCTCTTTCTCCCTCCCTTCCCTCTCTAAAAATAAATAAAATCTTTTTTTTAAAAGATGCTTAAGTTGGGATCTTTAATATTGTCTAAGTTTATCTAAGAATGGAGGCATCTATAATAAAACATGCCATGCCGGTGAAAATAACTTGGCTTGCTCTTGCACGTACGGGATGTTTTGAAACACTATGTAATTGTGCCAAGTCAGGTGAACCTACGAACTGACCACAGAACCAGGACAGAACTGGAGCGCCACCGAGGCTGTGTGCGCCTCTCCAGCCCAATTCCACCGCCCCCGCCCACAGGTAACCGCTGTCCTGAACGTTTCCCTTATCTTTTTTCTGGAAGTTCTTTTTAACTGTGGTGAAATACACATAAAATTGATCACTTTAACCATTTTTAAGTCACGGTTTAGCAGTGATTGAAGTGCATTCACACTGTCACCCAGTCAAGCTCCAGAACTCTCCTCCTCTCTCAAAACGGAAACTGAGTCGACACTGAACAACCCGTTCCCCCTCGTCCGGCCCCTGGCAGCCACCATTCTACTTTCTGTCTCTGTGAAGTCGGCTGCTTTAGACGCCTCACGTAAGTGGAATCACACAGCATTTGGGTTGTGTGTGTGCGAGTGCATGTGTGTGTCTGGCTTGTTTCAGTCAACGTAACACCCTCAAGGTTCATTCGCATTGTAACTGCGACAGGATGGCCTTCCTCTGTAGGGCTGCGCAGCGTTCTGCTGTGTCTGCTACTGTGTGATCTTCCACATGAACAACTCTAAACCCACTGATGCCCCACCCCGCATGCACATTCGGTTTATGTACTGACGGACATTGGGCTGCTTCTACGTATAGGCCGCTATGAAACGCTATCAACACAGGTGCACAGGTACCTCTTTAGACCCTGCTTTCGATTCTCTTGGAGATACAAGTACACCTAGACATGGAATTGCTGGATCACATGGTAATTCTACTGTTAATTTTTTGAATAAATGACATACTGTTTTCCACAGTGGCTGCACCCTTTTACATTCCCACCAACCGTGCACCAGGGTTCCGATCTCTCCACATCCTCACCAACACTTACTACTTCCAGGTATCCTGAGAGTGGGCACCCTAATGTCTACTATCAAAAGTGGGAAGTGGTATCATAGTTTTGATTTGCATTTCCCTATGGATTAGTGATGTCGAACATCTTTTCATGTGCTTATTGGTCA